CGCTTGAACCCACAAGGCCAAGGTGGAGGTTGCAGTGAGCCAAGATGGCACCACTGCACTCCAGCCTGAGTGACAGAGTGAGACTCTATCTCAAAAAAAGGCAGCAAACTGGAGCTGGTGATGGTCATTTTTTACATAGTTTTGCCCCCTCTCCCTTACTTGACAATGCTTTCTGAAGCAGCAGTGAGAAGGAACACCCAGCTCTGGGGGTTTCCTTACCGCCCACATCCTCTCTGCTTTCAACTACAACCATGTGTGAGCCCCCACTTTACACTGTTTCAATATTATTCACCACGTGCTTTTCTTATTCTTCAATAATTACTAAAAGCACCGGCTTTTAGGTGATCAGGTACAACACATACAAGATATTTAGCAAGAAAATGAGAAAACTGCTTTTGCTAAAGGATGCTTTTAGCCCTATGTAATGCATGCCTGTAAGCACAGAACGGCAGTGTTTTCCTCAACTCAAACCCCGTAATTTAGTAAATATGCACTTTCATTTTTTAAAAGGCAGACAGAAAGAAAGAGAAATACGGTACATAGGTATTTTACGTACCATTTATGCCTTAAGCTTGTTGGAACTGTACATTAACCGGATAGTTTTGGGCTTTACAGACTGATTTGGAGAATGCTATAGACCCAAGGGACATACAGAAGAAATAGCAAAACTTTTCCGATGAAGAGATTTGGTGCCATTGAGCCTGATGAAGTGCTGTCTTTCTACCTCTCGCCGCCGGCCCTGGTCTTCCACGCTGGTGAGAATGGGCTCCTTCCTGGGCTCTGAGCCAGCCTGCCTCCTCCTACCTCTTGTTCTCAACACTGGTCCTGATATGTGACCCTGCTGAGGTCCCCTTCTCTCCTATACTGGCCTGCATCCGCAATCAAACAGGGCCCCTCGGGGAACAATCCCATAACAGGCAGTGAAGTCCCTAGGACGTACTGTGGCTTCCTTTAACCCGGCTAAAGGAAGTGGGAAGTCCGAGGTGCCAATGGGGACAGGGAGATTCTGTCACGTTCCCATAGAATGCTCAGATTCAGTTCCTGAATGGAACTGAAATGGGAATAATAGCAGCAATCCCATAGGGTCCTTGTGAGGATTTTAAAAAGTGGGTTTATAGAAAGCACTACGTAAGTATCTTTGGTTCTTATCAATCCGACCCCCTGACTCTGCCTTGGCTTAAAGAGAAATTTAGCTTCATCAATAGCAAGTTCCTCCCGACTTGCTGCCGTGGAGGCAGAACTTGCATTCTCTGTATGTTTTGTTTCTGTTTTTATTTTTGGGGGGACGGAGTTTTGCTCTTGCTGCCCAGGCTGGAGTACAATGGCGAGATCTCAGTTTACTGCAACCTCTGCCTCCCAGATTCAAGCGATTCTCCTGCCTCAGCCTCCCGAGTAGCTAGAATTGCAGACCACCACGCCTGACGAATTTTTTGTATTTTTAGTAGAGATGGGGTTTCTCCATGTTGGTCAGGCTGGTCTCGAACTCCTAACTTTCGGTGATCTGCCCACCTCGGCTTCCCAAAGTGCTGGGATTACAGGCGTGAGCCACCACACCTGGCCCTCTGTTTTTAATGTAAGGAGTTTGGTAGGGGCTTTGCTGCCCCTAACAGTATTTCCAGACCACAGGACATGAGCTATCTCCATAAGGTCCATTTTTTCACTTATAGACACCTCCCTGGATGGTTTCAGCACTGGACTCACAGTGTCATCTCTACCTGTCCATCTTGTCACAATTTCACAATCTACAGTGACAATTTTCGAGACTCTTGTACATAATTCACCAATTCTAGTGACTATCATTGCTGTTCTAACCCTACTTCAAAATGTTGTATATTTTTATTCATCCTTTCTTTTTTCATTTCTGGTCATCTCCTGAAAAAGATGTGCCTTTTCTCTCTCCCAAGGCACACCTTGGCCTGCAACCTACATTCTACGTTTTTCACTTTTCTGAGGTGGAGGCTCTCACATTGTGACTCCCAGGTCAACTGCATCAGCATTGCCTTGGAACTTGTTAGAAAGGCCAGTTCTTAGGATGCACCCAGTTTCTGCTGAACAGAAACCAGAAACTCTGGGGCTGAGGTCAAGAAGTCTGCAATTTAACAAGTCCTGCAGGGATTCTGATGCAGACTACCTTTTTTTCCCTTCCTTTCTCTCTTTTTTTCTTTCTCTTTCTTTCTCTCTCTCTCTTTCCCCTCCCTCCCATTCTTCCTTCCCTTTTCTCCCTTTCCTTCCTTCTTTTCTTCCCTCTCCCTCTCTTCCTCTCTCTCTCTCTCTTTCTTTTCGTTCTCTTGTTCTCTCTTGTCTCCCAGGCTGCAAAGCAATGACATAATCTTGGCTTACTGCGACGTCCACCTCCCAGGTTCAAGCGATTCTCCTGCCTCAGTGTGCTCCTGAGTAGCTTGCATTACAGGCACCCACCATCACGCCCAGCTAATTTTTGTATTTTTAGTAGAGACGGGGTTTCACTGTGTTGGCCAGGCCGGTCTCAAACTCCTGACCTCAGGTGATTCACCTGCCTTGACCTCCCAAAGTGCTGGGATTACAGATGTAAGCCACTGCACCCGGCCTAGGCTAACATTTAAGAATCACCTAGCGTTCCAGGGAATTTAGTAGTAGGTCCGGGCACAGTGGCTCACACCTACAATCCCAGTACTTTGGGAGGCTGAGGTGGGAGGATCTCTTGAGCCCAAGAGTTTGAGGCTACAGTGAGCTGTGACTGCACCACTCTGCTCTAGCCTGGCAACAGAGCAAGAACCCATCTCTATTAAAAAACAAAAAGAAAGTATCTTTCCCTCTCATTATCCCTTCTTTTCTGCTTCTTTTCTTCTACTTAAGCATGTTCAATTTGCCCATGCCCTTAAAAAAGAAAACAAATAAACAAACAAACAAACAAAAAACCATAGCTCTTGGGTTTGGAGGCAAAGAGTTCCCTGTGTTGAGTAAAATGTAAAGATTAAAAAAAAGAAATCGGAACCTTTTCCTCCTCTAAACTGTCATGAAATCTCTCTTTTCTATTATTAACAATGCTCTAGCCAGGGATGGGAAGGACCTCCTATTCATGCTTTTTCCAAAGTCACTCCAAGATTCCTTAAATTGGGCTTCAGCACCTGCCATGCTCTAGTAAAACGATTCTTTCCAAAGCCAGTGATAATGCCTTATTAAAGCTCCTCCACACCTCTGTCTCTTTGCAGCATTTGCCATTGCTGAGCACTCCCTGACTCTGCAGAGTCCTATTCTAGTTTGCTGAAAAAGCAAGATCCTAATTCTCCTTCTGCCTGACTACTTTTTCTTAGCCTTTGCCAGTTCTCTCTCTCACAGGCATTTCCCAACATTCTCTCATTCGCTCCACTCAATTCTCTCTTCCCTATTATTTCACCTTTATGAATTCCGTGATCACCCCCAGGTGATAACTCCAGATTAATCTTGCTCTCCAAACCTCTCGTCTTAGCTACACTTCCACAAAATATGCAACTTTCTCAATGCTTCCAAATACATGGTCTGTGGTACCTCAAATATAACACATTTTGACACCAAGATAAGGTGACGTTAACTTATCTGCAGTCCAAATCATATTCTAATGTCAACTTCCCAGTTTTTATAAATCATATCAGTATCCTCCAAATGTAGTACACTGTGTCTCAAAATAGTGTTTCAGAAAATCCCAGATCCTTTAGACATTTACTTATCAACTTTTTTTTTTTTTTTTTTTTTTTTTTTCTGAGACAGAGCCTTGTAGATGTCACCCTGGCTGGAGTACAATGGCACATTCACAGCCTCGCTGCAGCCTCAACCTTCTGGGCTTATGCAATCCTCCTACCTCAGCCTCCCAAGTAGTTAGGACCACAGGCACACACCATCACACCTGTCTAATTTTTTATTTTTTTAAGAGACGGGTTCTCACTGTGTTGCCCAAGATGGTCTTAAACTCATCGGTTCAAGTGATCCTCCTGCCCTGGCCTCCCGAACTGCTGGGATTACATGCATAAGCCAGTGTGCCTGGCTTATTTATTTTTTTAAAAAGGGGTTTCTGCTGTTATGCTCAGCAAACTAACACAAGAACAGAAAACCAAACACCGTACGTTCTCACTCACAGGTGGGAGTTGAGCAATGAGAACTCATGGCCACAGGGAGGGGAACATCACACACTGAAGCCTGTTGAGGGGTGGCGGGTGGGGAAAGGGAGAGCATCAGGAGAAACACCTAACGTAGATGATAGGTTGATGGATGCAACAAACCACCATGGGACATGTATACCTGTGTAGCAAACCTGCACATTCTGTACATCTACCCCAGAACTTAAAGTATAATAAAATTAAAAAAAAAAAGAAAAAAAGAGGTTTCTGCAGACAAATAAGCATGGGAAATGAGACAACATCTTCTTCTTGGAGTCTCACAGTGCATATAAGCATATTATAGGCTCCAAAAAGTCTTATACAGAAAAACAGTGCATGCAATTTTAAGGTGACTTGAGCCAAGTCTCAGTTTCACTTCTGATGCTAAGTAATGTCATGGAAACATCCACTGAAACACATTAGAAAGCACTCTATCTCCCATGTCCTCTCATCTCCAGCTATGTGTCCAGCCTCGCTGATGTTTTTCCTTGCGGAGTTCTCGTTTCCAGCCTTACGCTCACCTCCCCATGTCAGGCCCCTGCTGCTTACTGCCCAAGTATTGCAACTGACCCCCTCACTTTAATCCAGCCTAATTAGTTTCAAGACAGATTAGTTTGCTTAAAATTCAGCTCCAGTGATTTCATCTTCTGGTTCAAAACCTTCACTCAATGAAAGAAAATAGGCCAATCATACAGAAAACACCACTCGAGGTCCTTTCCCACCCAGAGTGCCATCCCTTTCCTTCCCTCCATCCTCCTGTACCACGTGTTTCATCTGAAAGGACCCCTGGTCCTTAAACTTCCTTCCATCTGTGCTCTGGCTCTAGCTGCTTCTTGACTTCCTCATGGAAAGCCCTCCTCAGGCATCCCAGCTTCTCCAAGTCTTCTCTATTCTCTGAAGCTCAGCTATAACCCCACCACTTCTTTCCTTTTTGAGATGGAGCTTCACTCTTGTCACCAGGATGGAGTGAGTACAATCTCAGCTCAGTGCAACCCCTACCACTGGGTTCCAGTGATTCTCCTGCCTCAGCCTCCTGAGGAGCTGGGATGACAGGCACGTGCCACCATGCCTGGCTAATTTTTGTATTTTGGGGAGAGACAGGGTTTCACTGTGTTGGCCAAGCTGGTCTTGAACTCCTGGCCTCAGGTGATCTGCCCACTTCAGCCTCCCAAAGTGCTCAGATTACAGGTATGAATCACTGCCCCCAGCCGAACCCCACCGCTTCTCCAGAGCTTCCTGGTGCCCCTGTCATAAATTATCCTTGCTCCCTTTGCCATCCCAGGGAATTGTATTCACTGCACTTGTTACATCTGGCCTTCCATTTTCAGAATGAGGCATCAAGAGGACACAGACAGTCTCTCATTCATATTTATCTCCCCAGCTGTACTGAATGCAACATCTTGTTCAGAGAGCTCTAGAAGTAACCTGGATAATGAGTAACAATCACATTACTTATCTAGGAAATGTCCTGTACATAGGAAAGGAAACACATGCTTTTCAATTCAGAACCAATGACCTTGGAAACTCTGTTGCCAAAATATGACCAGTACATGTGCAACAGAAAAGAAAATTCTCCACATTCTTCCTTAAAGTGCGAGCCTCTTTTAATACTAAGTGCTGTAATTTTGTTACACTGATGCTCTGTTGGTAACGACAAACACCATAGTTCAAGATAAACTATGAGACACAGTAATTTGTACCAGTTCTCAGGGTGCCAGCTGCAAGAAAATGTCCCCTTTTGTTCCTGAGAGGAATCGCATATGTTCAAATTCCCCAAAAATCTTTAATAATGAACTGAAAAATAACAGAATAATGTTAGCACGCCAGGTATTACCCAAAATACCATGGGCAGAAGTAAAACACCTATCTCACTGTATTAGACACTTACGGTAAAGAAAAACTCGGACAAATTCAATTCATATAATAAATGAGCAACAAACACTGGGTAAAAACAAAATTAAAAGCTTGGAATTACTAGTTCAACAAAATGGTTTTTAATCTTTCCAGAAAACAAACAGTAAAACCACAGAAACTTAGCACAACTGTTAGAGAAAGTCCAAAAAAGTCTTTTCTGCTTCTCATGATATCATTTACTCTGTTCTCTCAATTTACAATTCTAAATGCCAGGATCTTTCACTAATACTCAAAGCAGTGTGTTGCTTTATTGTGTCTATGAAATGGAAGGGGAGAAGGATGCTAGCTAGCAGTGGCTGAATTCTCATAGCAATCTTTGTCAAGCAGTTATTATTTTATGAATTACTTACAAATTATAGCAATCTGGACTAGCACAGGAGAGTGGATGAAGTGAACTCACTCTGGTTCTAAACACCTCTGGTACTAAATACATGGGATCCCATCCCGCTTACTTTTTTCCCAGCCGTGAAACCTTGCACAAGTGACTTCATACTCTTCCCACTGCCCCGGCCACAAAACTTGGGTACTAACAGTTTCTATTTTTCTTTGCAGTTATTGCAAGTATTAGATGAGTTATTATCTGTGAAGGGCTTAGAATAATGCTTGGCAATGGTAAGCTCTTTATATAAATATTTGTTAAATAAACAGAAAATATAGTCAGTTCAGTAACTTGCTGAAGGACACACAGTGAAATAAGTGATAGAAGTGGAATGTTAACCCAGATCTTTCTTGCTCTTTACATGCTGCTGTCCTCAGTGGAAAGACTGACACCTTCTCTCTGCATCCTCTCGTGGTGGAAAGGATGAGGGAGCTCTCTGGGGCACCTTCTCTAAGGGCACTAATGCCATTCCTGAGGGCTCCACCCTCATGGCCTGATCACCTCTGTAAGGCACCCCATCCAAAAACCATCACCTTGGGCATTAGGATTTCAACATGTGAATTCTGGGGACACAAATATTTAGACCATAGCAGATGGGATTGTGAAAGGCAGTGGGAGTGATGAAAAGGGACCGTTTTCCAGGGTCTGGTCTAAGAAAGGGCATGGCTGGGCATGCTGGCTCACGCCTGTAATCCCAGCAATTTAGGAGGCCAAGCTGGGCAGATTGCTTGAGTTCAGGCATTCAAGACCAGCCTGACCAACATGGTGAAACCTTGTCTCTATCAAAAATACAAAAATTAGCTGGGTGTGGTGGCGGGTGCCTGTAACCCCATTTACTTGGGAGGCTGATGCAGGATACTAACAGTTTCTATTTTTTGCGACCTTTTGAACCCAGGAGACAGAGGTTGTGGTGAGCCGAGATTGCAGGATTGCACTCCAGCCTGGGGGGCAACAAGAGTGAAACTCCATCTCAAAAAAAAAAAAAAAAGAAGAAGAAGAAGAGCCAGATTCAAAGCAGGTGTGTCCACTACAAGAAACAAGACCCTTTCTACTTCCTCCTGTCTTGGTATGTTCACCTCATTCAGGGGACTAGCTTTCTAGCTTTTCAATCACAGAAGGTTCTGGAAGGAATTATGAGCAGAGCTGGAACGTACATAGAAAATAAAAGCAGGGATATTAATTACCTTGGTTGTATATGTACACAACACACGTGTATAACAAAACATCACACTGAGGCTGGGTGCAATGCTTCATGCTTCCAATCCCAACACTCTGGGAGGACGAAGCAGGTGAACCATTTGAGCCCAGGAGTTCGAGACCAGCCTGGCCAACGTGGTGAAACCAACCCTGTCTCTACTAAAACTATAACAATTAGTTGGGTGTGGTGACACATGCCTGTAGTGCCAGTTACTTGGGAGGCTGAAGTGGGAGGATAGCTTGAACCCAGGAGGTCAAGGCCAAAGGCACTGTCATTGTGCTACTGCATTCCAGCCTGGGCCAGAATGAGATCTGGTTTTTATAAGAAAAAGGTAATAACAAAAATCCCACAAAACCACACACATTATATATCATAACATAATATATTTGTCAATTATACCTCAGTCAAGCTGGGGGAAAAAGATAAAAGGAAATTTTATAATGACGAAAAGAAAAAGATGAAAAGTAAAATTGCTAGGAGCCAGCAAAAGTTGATGAAAAGCAAGCCCTTTCAAGGAAGCCGTAGTGTTCAGTTTCTGGATGGTTACTGAGCTGGAGTGAGGACTGAGTTAAATCACAGCCCTGACTACTGGCCACCTGGTGCATTTCCCGCTTCCACACTGGCTCCCAACCCCACAGCCTTTCCCCCACAAAGCAACTGGCGCTTTTCTTTTATGAGGGCTCTTAAGATGTAAAGTTTATTTCAAATCATGCCACTCTTGCTCAGCACCTTCCGTCAGGTGTTCGAACATTCACGGCATAGCTCCAAGGCTTCCCCTGGCCTGCAGCTCTGGCCTGCAAGTCCTTGTGTGACCTCTGGCCTGCCTCCCTTTCTCCTTTCTCTGTACTCAGACACACTGGGCCCTGGGATCTTCCTAGAATGCGTTCAGAGCTTTGCCTTTATGGTTTCCACTGCCTGAAATACTCTATCTCCAAATATCCACATGGACACATTCTCACTCCATTCATATATTTGATCGAATGTCACCTTCACAGAAGCTTTTTCTGGCGGGGACAGGGTCTTGCTCTATCACCCAGGCTGGAGTGCAGTGGCACAATTACGGCTCACTGCAACCTCTGAGTGATCCTGCTAGGGGCTTCGTCTTGTTTACTCTGTTTCTGGCGGCTGGGAGATTACTGGCACACAGTAGGCAGAAGGGAGGGAGGGAGGATGGATGGGCAAACCTGGATTTTAGCCAAGTATCAGATGAGCTTTCTTATTCTTGTATAGAAGCTATTAGAAGCTGAATGACCAAATAGTTAAGCTGATTTACAACTGCACAAGCAACCAAACTTCAAAGATCCCAATTTACAGCATGATAATCTGAAGAGCTACTTAGAGCATGATTTCAAAGGTGAGAGAGGAAGGTGGGGAAATTAATGTCTCCAGAGGAAAGCAATTCAGAATGGCTGGGGAAGGTTTCAAATTATACCTTGAAGGGGAGCAGAATAGGTCATCCCCAAAATATGTGACTTTGCCATAAGGATTGTTTTGAACTGAAGGCGACTGAGAATCTACAAATGCAGGAAAAATTCTCTGCCATCCCCTCATCTGCCTAAAACCAGGACTCAAATTTTCCCTTGTAAAATTCCCCTCTGCTGTACCAGGAACAGAAAACTTGAGTCTTCCTGCTGGAGATGGTGAGTTGGCATGGAGATGAGATGCAGAAACACACCTTACTAAAATAACCCTCATCTTCCATTAGCTTTCCCATATACTTCCTAGTCACCTTCCTGCAACTCAGCAGCCCATAAAATGCACCCTTTTCTTTGTTAAAAATGGTAAATGAGCCCCCAATCCTCCCACTTCGAGCTTCACTCCTTTTCTGTCAACTCCTGTGCATGTAAAATATTAACAAAATTGCATGTCTTGTATCCTGTGAGATGTGTCTTTTGTAAGTTTAATTCACTGGCCTTAAACACTATACCTAAGAGGGTAGAGAAGTTGTTTTCTCCACAGTGACCTTCACTTTACCACCAATTCACGTGCCGGCCTACGCCATTCTATTCCGTGCCTTGCCAGATCACAAGTATTTAATCTGATGTGTTCTGCTTTGGAAGAGCTATATTTATAGCACACTCACATGGGAGGAAATCAGGTAAGAGGGCATAAAAACACGTCACATGAGGACTCTGGGATTTTTAGCCCAGAGAAGAAAAAATCTGAAGAGGAAGAAGGTGATCATATACTTTATAAGGCCCAGAGAGGACAGAACTGGGATCAAAGAATTGAAGTTGTAAGGCAAAGCAAACCTTCATTCTATATAAATCCGAACGCTCTAACAGAACTGTTAACAGAGGGCACAGGCTGCCAGCCAAGAGGAGAAGAAATGGCCTTTTTGGGAAGATGTGGTGTGGGAGAACAGATGGATAACTGGCTTGGATCACTACTGGCAGCACGCAGGGTAAACACAAGCAGAGCACAGGTGGTGTGGGTCCTCGGGCTGTAGCTACCACCCATTGGCTGTGGGCTCTTCACTGCCAATCAACAATTTTGGGCATCAGTTCACTCCATCACAGCAAAAATGGATTAAATCAGTGGTTGGCCAACCCAGTTCCTCAGAGCCCAGGGTTCAGAGCAAATGGCACGGGAATGCTTCAGCAGTGGTTGCAGATAAAAATCCAACTGGGCCACGTAGCTGAATATCCCCCAATTCAGGGCCATTCCCCCGAGTTTTAATACATTTCCAGTTATAATAAGTTTCCAATCATGTTAAATACATGTCCATGTTCTTTCTATGTCAATTTGCCTCGATTATAAAAAGTCTTTTAAAAAATCTAGTCATACATAATTTTCTATGACTCTAAAGTTTTGAGGTGACTGCTGTATATGCCCAAATAGAAGGAAGGTGCTGCCACATTTTACAAAGAATATCTTGTGGCCAACTCTTAGTACTGTCAAAGATGGTCAAACACTGGGGCAGAGATTCTAAATGCTTACTAACTCCATTTTCTTCCTTGAATACAGACAGCTACATTTCTAGCCTTCCTTGCAGTTAGGTGGACCCAGGTGATCAAATTTTGGCCAGTGAAATGTGTGGGGAATGATGTCTGCCATTTTCCAGCCTGGCAAAAAAAGGACCTGTGTGGTCTTCCCAAGTTTTCTCTCTTCTCTGGCGACAGTATATATACAATACATGTAACATACAAAATATGTGTTAACCAACTTTTTACTATATTGGTAAAGCTTGGGTTCAAAAATATGCTATTAAGTTCTTGAGGAGTCCAAAGTTACACACGGATTTTGGCTGCATAGGGGTTCCATGCCCATAATCTCTCATCGTTCAGTGGCCAATCCCATCTTGCTGTGATGGAGTTATTAACTCTCACGTTAATATAGAAAAAATAAACATGCACTAACTTAGAAGGATCCCTCTCTCCAAATCTTTATTCATATTTAATTTTTAAAAATCTGAAAACTTCTCACCTGTCTTGTGCATATCAGTAGAGATACTTGGCCACCTAACCCCTTTCTAATGTAAATTTCCGTTCAATTAATTGGAAACAGTTTTTGTTTTGAATGTTTGAGTTTATCATGGCATCCAGTATTTATAATAGTGACATTACGTCTCCAGAAATAAGTGTTAAATCTCTATTTAAACATTTAAGTCAAATGTATCAGGTGATTTATGTAAACACAGCAAAATATTGATTGAGATCACTGAGCCCATGTATCTCCAGCAAGCAGCACGCTGTTGTTCAAAATAAAGTAATTGAACATGTCCTCCTCATACCAAGGGAGAGCTTGTAAGGTTTCAAATTTAAGGTGACTCTCTCTTTTCTGAAGAATACTTCTGAGAGGAAAAAAGCCTCATCTTGTATTCAGGCATATGTGGCAATCTTTGGCAAATTTTTATTTCTGAACATTTATTTTTGCATATTCTCTAAGTGCATATGGAAAAAATAAACATGATTTATTTTTGTTCAGTTGTATAAGCTCATTTGGCTTTGGCATTTACATGGAATGGGAACCCAGTAACATTTTGTATGTATAAAAACCTTTGATTATTTTTTCAGGTGCTTTTAAGTTTTAAAAAAATACCAAATATGCTTGGCAAGCAACGGTACTTCTGACTACAAAGCCACATGCAAGTCAAATAAAAGTAATTCACACATACCTTTTCAAGGGCCAATTTTTACCAACAAGCCCTATTCTCATTTTTATCTATTGGTGGAGGACAGGGGCGATAAATGTGGCAATGATTACGGGAAAAGGAAACAGCATTGTTCTGATGGATTAGTTTTTGTTTTTTTGCTGTTGTTCTCTGCTTTGTTCCCCATGAATAGATTACCCGAGAAGGTTCAAGCTTCTATGTTCTTGCCAAAGTTGCTGGGTTAGCAAAGTATACTTGAAATGCCTTCTAAGATTTTGTTCAAAGTTGAAATTAAACAGAAGCGTCTAAACTTCTCTACCAAAGAGGGTAAAAACTCTTACTGGCAAACCAATCATTAATGACCATATATTTTAAATTAATTAATTTGCTATTTGTGAGCTATGGCACTGGCTTAAGATTTTCAAGGTAATAGCTAACAACTTCCATCTTTTAAAACATTTCTCACAGAAGGTGGAATATTCATTTTTATGCTGAAGGTCTCCTTTTGTTAAACTTATCAATTCTCTAAAAATGATCTAAAAGCATTCCAGAGTTTTATAGTATTTAAAGTTATCATACTTCCAAGGGCTCATTTATGCAAAACTGCTAGTATTCTGGGCTCACAGATGCTATGAGCCCTCCAAAGAGGATCAGAATTGGTCCAGCTTTGTGTAGATCTTAATAGTTTTGATGAGTGATTGCACATATAGGCAAACACAATAGGTGCTGGAAACCTATGCTTGTATTCCCAGCACTTTGGGAGGCCGAGGTGGGTGGATCCCTTGAGCCTGGGAGTTTGAGACCAGTCTGGGCAACATGGCAAAACCCCATCTCTACAAAAAAAAAAATACAAAAGTTGGCTGGATGTGGTAGCATGTGCCAACAGTCTCAGCTACTCGGGAGGCTGAGGAGGGAGAATTGCTTGAACCTGGGAGATCAAGGCCACCCCACTGCACCTGAGCCTGGTGACAGAATGAGACTCTATCTCAAAAAAGATATGTGAGGGAAAGAAATCAAAGATTTATTTGGTAGTTATTTTATGATCTTATTACTGTCAACAACTGAGGCAAAGAAGTGATCATTGGAAAGGAGCAGGGAGTTGTTTCCAGAATAGCAAAGACCATACTCTCAGAAATTTTCCTGTTCACATAGATGCCACCTATTGTCAAATCAGGTGGATTTTCACAGTTTCATGGTTTTTTTTTTTTTTTTTTTTTGTTGTTGTTGTTGTTTTTTTAGACAGAGTTTTGCTCTTGTTGCCCAGGCTGGAGTGCAATGGCGAGATCTTGGCTCACAGCAACCTCCGCCTCCCAGGTTCAAGCAATTCCCGTCTCAGCCTCCCAAGTAGCTGGGACTACAGGTGAATACCACCATGCCCAGCTATTTTTTATGTATTTTTAGTAGAGATGGGGTTTCACCATGTTGGCCAGGGTAATCTCAATCTCTTGACCTCATGATCCACCCGCCTTGGCCTCCCAAAGTGCTGGGATTATAGGTGTGAGCCACCACGCCCAGCCATTTTCATGGTTTTTAAATGAAATGTGTTGGATTGTCTATTGTCAACTCTGCACTATGCCTCCGCAGGCCTCATCCTTTCCCATCTATCAAAGAGCATGAATTCCTACGGATGATATTTTCAGAGCCTTTGTTAACAGGGTCTCAGGTTGGACTCCTCAGTGAGAGGCACTTGTGTGACATGCGGAAGTCAGGGGAGAAGCCAGATTATTGCTCCACCATCAGCAGAAGCCATCCCTGGGGGCTACAGCAGACTAGAGACTTTCCAGTTCCATTAGACCAGCCGTTCTCAAAGTGTGACTCAGGAACCCATAGAAGCTCTAGGGACCATTTTCAGGATTCCACAAGGTCAAAACTATAATCTTAATGGCACTAAGACATTATCTGCCTTTTAATACTCTCCTCTCATGATGGTAGAGTGGACTTTTTTCAAACACTATGTGACCTATGATGACTTTATCACTCTGATGGCTGAGGGAATGCCTGCTTGTAAATTCTCATGATTTAAATTTTTCTGTTTTAATTTCTAATGCAAAAAATACCAACAGGCATAACCTATATAAACAAAAGCTCTTTGAGGTATTCAATAATTTTTAAGGGCCAGGCACAGTAAGTAGCTCATGTCTGTAATCCCAGCCAAAGTGGGTGGGTCGCTTGAGCCCAGAAGGTCAAGACCAGCCTGGGCAACCTAGCAAGACCCTATCTCTATAAAGAATATAGTAATAATAATCATATTAATTTTTAAGAATGTAAAGTGGTCATGAGATTAAAACATTTGGGAAACACTATTCTGGATTGTACCCTGGAAATCACCCACCAAATGCTTTAGGTAGCTGCAGTTATCAGTGCTGACTTTTAGTAATTCTGGCAACTTCTTGATTCCCCAAATGCCACCAGCAGCCCTGAGAACCGGCAGCTTTCTCTGACTTTATTCCTTCAGTCCTTTTAGATTTTGTAGATCTAAATTCCCTATGTTAAATCACTTTATTTCGGAAATATTTGAAGTGGTTTTTGTCTTCCTGACTAAACCACGAACAGAGTTCAATACAAAATACTATAAATTTGTTTTTCAGACATCTTCAAAATCACACCATATGAGAAATCTCTTCTGCACTCCTACGATGAATTAGACAAGCCTATCCTCAAACCATTTTCTTCAAGTTCATGGCCAAAATGCTCAATGTTCTATGTTTTAAAATGGTTTCTCTGTCTAAAACATGCCATATGCTTTTCAGAGAAAGCTCAAAATTAACTGGTAAAGCTCTATATACAACTCCACTAAAGCTCTTGCTGAAATGGACAGGAATACTGCAGTACAGTGCCTTCTAACAGAAACGTGTTCCAAGAATTCCAAGCCATTAAAACAACAAAAAAACCCAAACCTCTGATTTAAGACAATAGTTTTGATGGTAGAAAAAAGAATTAGGGGACAGATAGTTTCAAATTTGCTATAACATGTTTACCATTCCCTGTAAGTATTTACATAATTCTTAACATTATTTTTGTAATGTAGTTACAAGTTACAGATTGAACTCCCTGTTCTACGCTTTCCTCCTTCTCAACACTGTACTTGACTAGCTTAAGAAAAAAATATAATTATAAACCCTAAATATCACTCACAGGCCCATCATTTCACTGTATCTAGTATTTGCATGAGAAAGGGCTTTTCTTTCCCAAGACCAGCTATCACCATCACAGACAGGTTCTCAGACCTTCTTAACACTCTATAGTAAGCCAAAGCCACTGATACAAAGCTTCTGAGTTGCAGAAACATCAGCTATTTTTCCAAAGTGCTT